TGCTGATGATGATGACGATGATGCTGATGATGCTGATGATGCTGCTGATGATTATAATGATGATGGTGATGGTGGTGGTGGTGATGATGATGAAGATGATGAGGATGATGATGATGACGATGACGATGACGATGATGATGCTGATGATGCTGATGATGCTGATGATGCTGATTACGATGATGATGGTGATGATGATGATGATGATGATGATGATGATGCTGCTGCTGATGATGATGATGATTCATGATGATGATGATGATGATGATGATGATGATGATGATGATGATGATGATGATGATCATGATGATGATGACTGAGAAGAAAAAGAAGAAGCTGATGATGATGCTGATGATGATGATGGTGATGATGACGATGATGATGGTGATGATGATGATGATGATGATGATGATGGTGGTGGTGGTGGTGGTGGTGAGTGTGATGATGATGATGATGATGATGATGATGATGATGATGATGATGATGATGATGATGATGATGGTGATGATGATGGTGATGACGATGATGCTGTTGCTGCTGCTGCTGCTGAGGAGGAGGAGGAGGAGGAGGAACAGGATGAACAGGGAAGGGATGAGGAGGAAGAGGAGGAGCAGAAGGAAGGAAGGAGGCCCGGGTATTTTTGGTGGCCTCTCGGGGCCCTCCTTGCGCCGCCTGGGGGCCTCGTGGAGACCTGCGGTGGAGGCTCGCGCTTCGCGGCTGTCCAGCCTCCCGGGGCTGCTGCCGGGCTCGAAGGGCCGTCAGAGAGCGTCTCGGGGCAGCAATCGACTAAGAGTGATGGGCCCGTTTTCCACCACCACCACCACCATAGGTGGAGGAGGAGGAGGATGAGGAGCAGGAGGAGGAGGAGGAGGACCCCCTCCCCCTCCAGCTTATGGTGGTGGTGGTGGAAAGCAGGCCCATCTAAGAGTGACCCTTCGTCACATGATCTTTGGCGCGGGCCCAGTGGGGGTCTCCCAGCCACCATCCGCGATGCGATAGCAGCTGCTTGTGCGCTTGTGCTTGGCCTCTCCCGCGCCCACTGACTGCCGCGTGCCCGAGGCCACTCTTGCCTAGAGTCACTCTTGCGGGTTGCCGAAGCTAGGCTTGCCACGCGCAGAGGGGGGTGGGGGGGGAGGGGGGCGGGCTTTTTAGAAGCACCCCTGCTTCTTAGAAGGCGCGGGCCTTGCCTATAGACGTGAGGCCGGCGCCTTCTCAGAAGCAGCCTCCTTCTAAGAAGCCCTCCCCCCTCCCTCCACCCCCTTGTGCGGGCCCCAAAACTAAGCTTGCCATGTGGAGGGGGGGATCACCATCGTTCGACCCATCCTCGCCCCCACTGGGCCACGGCACCGCAGCCCCACCGGTTCGCCCTCCCAGGTGTGGAGGGGCCACGCGAGACTCGAAGGCACACATCCCCACCCAGATGGGTACCCAGAGATCAGGAATACATATATATATATATATATATATATATGTACATATATTTATGTATGTATGTATATATATAAACTATTTGTATGCACATACATGTATACATGTATTATTATATATACTCTATGTATGTATTCATATGTGCATATAGCATCTTCTCATTCTTCTTCTCGTATTCGTGTTGCTATTACCGCTATACACATACATATAGATATATTCCGGCCCAGAAGCCTCGACCCCCTCCCGATGGCCAGCTTTTCCTCCCGAGCAGTTCTGTGACGGGCCCGGGGCCCGGCGGGGGCCTCTCGAGTCTGCAGGCGGCAAAAAAGGGCATTTGGTCAGTGGGGCCGTGTCCACGCCGGTGGGGGCAGGGATCGGCCTGGCGACGCCGCTGGCCGAGCGCGCGCCGAGAAGGCGGCCCTCCCGACGCCCCGAAGGCCCCCCCCCCCCTCCTGCGCGCCGCCGCACTGGGAGCGGGGGAGCTCGCGCGGGGGGGGGGCCCGTGGGTCGGCCGCGGGAGCGCGGAGGGCACGGGGCGGCGGGTCTGCCCCTCGCCCTTTTCGCCTCGGTGCGCGCCGACGGGGGGAAGCCGAGGGGCGTGGCGCGGGCCTCCTCGGGGGCCCTCCGCGGGCCTTCTCGGGCGAAGCTCTCCACGGCTTCGGCGGGGGCCTGGGGCGCCTCCTCCTCCTCCTCCTCCTCCTCCTCCTCCTCCTCCTTCTCCTCCTCCTCCTCCTCCTCCTCCTCCTCCTCCTCCTCTCCTCGGGAGGGCGGAGAGGGCGAGGAGGCTCCCCTCCTTCCGCGTCGGGGGCGCTGCGGGCCTGCCGCCGGCGGCGCTCGAGCGCACCGGCCAGCGCCGCCTGCCGTTGCCGCTCCTGCGGCGGCGGGATGAGAGCAGAAGCGATGAGTGAGCCAGACGCCCAAACCCACTGGGGGGTCGTTGGAAGGAGGACTGGCAAGGGGTACGAGCGCGGGTTGTCAGACCCCTGGTGGGGCTACCAGGCGAGTAGGGGGCCCTATCCGGCAACACGCGCCTATAGCCCTCTTGCGTCTTCCCTGCGGGTTAGACTGGTGTGTGTGTGTGTGTGTGTGTGTGTGTGTGTGTGTTGTTCGTTTACTAAGACAGGATGAGTTCGGTAGCAAGTCATGGGAGCATTGTATCCTGCCGTGTTTCCATCTTTACGAGTGTTCTCGCGTCGATTAGCGTCTGATAGTCGATGAGATAGCGCCGATTTAGCGTCGATGAGCATCGCTTAGCGTCGATCTTGGTCGATTCAGCGTCCGTCAGTGTCGACGCTGCGAACAAGCTTGCAACTCGGCCACGCGCAGAGGGGGGCAGGGGGGGGGACGCTTCTTTGAATGAGGCCGCTTCTTAGAAGGCGCGGGCCTTATCTACAGATGTAAGGTTAAGTCGGGCGTGTCCCTCTACAGGAGGAATCTGCAAAAATAGTAAAACATATAGTCAGGGGACGATTTGTTCTACCGTCTTTTTTTGTTGGAATATGTTTTGAATACTTTTTGGGTTTCCTCCCAAATCTGCTTGTTGGGAGGACACGCCCGACCTGAATGTAAGGCCGGCGCCTTCTGAGAAGCAGCCTCCTTCTATAGAAGCTTTCCCCCTCTCCCCCCTCCCCTCGTGCGTGCCGCCGAGCAGCACCGCGAGAAACCACACCCGGAGCCCTGCAGACCCCGCCTTGGCCCCGCGCAGCGGGGCCCACGCTCCACGGGGGCCTCGATCCTCGAGGCCCGCTCTCCGCCGACCGGCCGAGTCTGGGAGAGCTGTGCACGGGCTTGCACGAGGGCGCGAGGTTGTTCGTGCTTCGCGCTTCGCGGTCCTCGTTCCTTCCTCCTCCTCCTCCTCCTCCTCCTCCTCCTCCTCCTCCTCCTCCTCCTCCTCCTCCTCCTCCTCCTCCTCCTCCTCCTCTCCCTCTGGGGGGGCGGCGCGAGAGCGCGAAGCTACTCGCGCTTCGCGGAGCGCGGAGCGCGAAGTTGGGAGCCCCAGGCTGTGGTGCCTCCCCCGGGAGTCTCGCTGCCCGGGCCGGGCGCGCCTTCCCTTGGAAACCCGCGCCGCGAGCAGCATTTCGGCGGAGGAGGAGCCGAGGGCAGCGGTCGTTGGCCCTCGGCGGGGGCCCCCTCGTCGCCGCAGCTGGACGCAGCTGGGAAGGCCGGCGCGCTGGGACCCGGGAGAGGTCCGGGGACCCACTTTGGAGGAGGAGGAGCAGGAGGAGGAGGAGGAGGAGGAGGAGGAGGAGGAGGAGGAGGAGGAGGAGGAGGAGGAGGAGAGGGGAGGAGGAGGTGGAGGAGGAGGAGGAGGAGGAGGAGGGAGGAGGAGGAGGAGGAGGAGGAGGAGGAGGAGGAGGAGGAGGAGGAGGAGAGAGGAGGAGGAGGAGGAGGAGGAGGAGGAGGAGGAGGAGGAGAGTGGAGGGAGAGGAGGAGGAAGGAGGAGGAGGAGGGGGAGCTAGGCTGCTCCGCCCCCCCCCCCCCAGGGAGTGCCCCGTCGTGCCGGCGACCTCTCTCTCTCTCGGGAGGGGCGGCGAGGGGCCCCCCCGCGGGCGGGAAGGACCGCGGCTCCTCCAGCTGCGCCTGGTCTGCCTCCTTAGGTTTTGTTTGTTTGTTTATTTGTTTGTTTGTTTGTTTGTTTGTTTGTTTGTTTGTGTGTGTGTGTGTGTGTGTGCAGCCAGTGTCTTGTTTTTTTTTGTTTTGTTTTTGTTTTTCCTCTTCTTGTTGCGCCGGGGGGTTTGCTGGAAGAGGTGCGCTCTCGACCCGCGAATCAAAAAAAAGTTGCGCGGGGGCCTCCTCCTCCTCCTCCTCCTCCTCCTCCTCCTCCTCCTCCTCCTCCTCCTCCTCCTCCTCCTCCTCCCTCGTGCATCGCGGCCTGGATTTGCATACAGTGCGCCCCCTGATGCCCGATCGCAGGAGCAGTCACCCTCTGCCCAGCCGCCGACGCAAAAGTGTGTGTGTGTGTGTGTGTTGTTCGTTCATCAAGAGAGGATGGGTGAGGCAGCAAGTCATGGGAGCCTTGCATCCTGTCGTGCTTCCGTCTTCAGGGTGCGCTGGCGTCGAGTAGCCTTCTGTAGTCGATGAGGTAGCGCCGATTTAGCGTCGCTCAGCGTCGCTTCGGGTCGATTTGGCGTCCCCCAGCTGCGCCGGGTCTGCACCCCAGAGCCAGAGAAGGAACTAGAAGCGCCCACGAGAGCCCCTGAGTTCCGACGCTGCGACCGGAAAGGAGAGACCGCGAATAATCACGCCCGGAGCTCTAGAGACCACCCACTTCCTGCGGCTGCTTTCGGGCCGGATCGATCACGCTCTTGCAAGACATCGCGAGCACACCACGAGAAGGTCATGACCTTTCTGCAACACAGCGAGAAGTCACCTCTGGAGCCCCAGGCTTGCGCACTCTTCGGGCCAGAGCGATCTGTGGTGGCCCCAGGGCCCGAAGCCAGGCGAACACGGATCTCAGTGTCAGGGCGGCCCGAGGCAGGGCCCCTTCCGCCGCCGCTGCCCACTACGCGCGCGCTCGCGCGGCACGCGCGCGGCACGCGCGGGGGGCGGCTCGCTGGCCCAGCGCGCGTCGCCAGGCCGCCGTTCGCGGGGGCGCTCCCATCCCAGGCCGCGCCGCCGCCGCCACAGCCGCCGCCGTCGCCGCCGCCGTCGCCGTCGTTGCCGCCGCCGTCGCCGTCTCCGCCGCCCTGGCTGCTCGGTGCTCTCGCCTGTCACCGTCGCGTGGCCCTCGGGGCTGCTTCGCTCAGCGAGCGCGGCTTCTCCGCCGCTTCGGATGCAGCAGCAAGCCTCGCGTGACGAAGCTTGTTAACTTGAACAGCTGGTCCCACTAGCGGCCACCGTCGACCAGCGGGTCCGTCGGCTGGGCAGGCCACCCCTACGGGGTCGGCTGTCATTCAACATTTTTTTTGCGGTTGGAACAGCATTAAAAAACCATCTCTGGGAATCCCTGTCGAAAACCATTGCCTATCATTGTGTCTGGTGGGCCTCCGCGCAGCTGGCCATACGCCGCCACCCCCGCCGCCCCTGTCAAAAACCACTTGGCAGTGATCACGGAGTGGCCGGGCGTGATCCAGAATTCGCCTCGAGGTGCATTTTGTATGGTTTTTTTGTTAGGGATGGTAGCCCTGCGCGCAGCAGGCTCTATGCTGACACCCCCGCCGTCCCTGTCAAAAACAATACAAAGTGCTCGCGGGCCTCACGAACATGACTCAAGACTTTGCCCAAAAGTGTACGTTGCATTGGTTTTTGGCAGGGATGGTTGGGGGTGCTGCATCGGGTTGGCCGCGCATGCTCCAAGTTTGGAGGCAGAGTGCGTTCTGTATTGTTTTTGACAGGCATGGTGGGAGGGGGGAGTATGTTTCCTGGTTCGCTGCCGGTCGCCTGGGGGAGGGGGTGTATATTCATATGGAACAGTGGTAAACCCTCGCGAAGTGGAAGAGGGAGGGGTTGGAAGAGAAACCGCTCTAGACCACCTACCCCCAGAGGGCTGGTGGGATTAGGCCTGCCTAAGTGGTTCTTGACGAGTTGAAGGTTGGTGCCTCCTATTGTTACTTTGCCCGTTGCTCGGAGGTTCCTCGGGTTCCTCGGGTTCCCCGCCCCCAGTGCTGTGCCCGTTCCAAGCAATGCCAAGCAGTGCCAAGCACTGCGCCCATGCAATATGAAGCTTTCCCCCAATTCGGGTCGCGCTGGGCTCAGTTTTTTGGCAACGTCGGATCTCAGGGGCTCGTGGGCGCTCCTGGCTCCCTTTGGGGTGCTGGGGGGACGACCTCCGCCCAGGGCCGCCGTCGGAGCTGCGTCCTTCCCGCCCCGCGGGGCGCGAGGCCGGCGATACGATGGGTCGCAGTAGACGGGTTCGACTGCGCCGACATTGGCGCGTCAGCTGCTGGCGTAAGCTCGCGCGCAAGCGCCCTCGCTTCCGGCGGAGCGTGCCGCGCTGGCGGCCCGCGTAAGCCACCGCGTGAGGTCGCCGTGCCATCTCGCGTGAGACCCGAGGACAGCGCCGCCCACCATCCCGGATCGTCGCTCAGGTGGGCAGCGCAGCTCCCCCAGCTGTGGCCGACCGGCAAGCATCGGGCCCCGAGGATCGAGGCCCTGTGGAGCTCTCGGCCCCCTCTGCGCTTCGGGAGAGGCCTTCCGCAGGTCCCATCGCAGGCCGCTCGGGGGGCGAGGCTCGAGGATCGAGGCTTGGGGCTCCAGAGGCCTGCGGAAGCCTCCGGAGGCCGCCACGGGGGATGGTCCTGCTGCTTGGCGTCGCTCGGACATGCGACTTTCCCCTCGGCGGGGACCATCGAGGCGCCCTCCTCGGCTGGGACCGTTGAGAAGCCTTTCGGACCGTCGTGCGAGGGAGTGCACGTCCTCCTCCTCCTCCTCCTCCTCCTCCTCCTCCTCCTCCTCCTCCTCCTCCTCCTCCTCCTCCTCCCCCTCCTCCTCCTGCTCCTCCTCCTCCTCCTCCTCCTCCTCCTCGGCCGAACGATGCACGGGGAATGGACGTCCGAGCGATGGCGAGGCGGGCTCTCCGTCGCTGGCTCCCCTGGGGCGCGGTGTGCGGGGCGTGGTGCCGCCGCGCCCAGGCGGCCGCGGCCTGTCGGGGCGGCGGAGGCGGGAGCCGTGGCTCCGCCGCCCTATGGGGCAGGAGGAGGAGGAGGAGGAGGAGGAGGAGGAGGAGGAGGAGGCGGAGGCGGCTGAGGAGGATGAGGAGGAGGAGGAGGAGGAGGAGGAGGAGGAGGAGGAGGAGGAGAGAGAGGAGGAGGAGGAGGAGGAGGAGGAGGAGGAGGAGGAGGAGGATGACCAGTCACACGCAGGGGGCGCGAGGGGAGTCGCACGCAAGGGGCGCGAGGACACGCGAGGGGGCGCCACTGCAGTCGAGGCGCGGACTCTGGGCTCAGACGGAGCTTTGGTCTTCGGGCCGTTCCTGGCAGCCAGGTCGGGGGGCCAGATCGCCGCCGAGGCTCGCCTCGACCAGAAGAGCCCCGTCTTTCTGGTTTAGCCTTCCTTTTCTGGCTCTGGCACGGGGCGCGGGGTCAGAGCACGCAGGTTGGGACAGGGAGCCAGAGGATCTGGGGAAGGACGTCGCCTGGGGGGCCGGACAGTTATTCGCGGACACATGGCGTCGCCTGGGTTTAGGACCGCGGAGACAGGTAGTCGCACGCGGATGGAAGAGCCAAAGGTTCGGGCAGGACCCTCTACGCCATGTTCCGGCCCGGGCGTCCACCCTCCCACCCGTCCCCCATCGTGAGTTGCCAGAGGTGTCCCTGGCCCAAGGCGCCCCCAAGATTTCCAAGGAGGCCCACGGCGTCCAGAGCACCCCTCATGAGGCGCAGAGGGCCTCAGCGACGGCGGGCCCCCTTTCTCCCCCCTTCCTGCTGGCCAGGACCCGTGCTGGGCAACCTCCGCCCCCAGCCGGCTGCAAGTCCGACCTCCCTTGCTGGGACCCCGTCTTGGAGGCCCCCGCAGTGCCCTGGCTCCCTGCAGCCACCGCCCGCGCGGCCCCCTGCAGGGAGCCCGTCGCCCGTGCAGGCGCCCCCCTTTCGCTCACGGCCCCAGCGGCGGCGGCGGCCACGGCGCCAGGCCGCGACGAGCTGCTGGTGCACGTGGCGCGCCGCGCGCGCGCGCGCTCCGCAGCCGACGTCCTCCTCGTCCTCGTCGTCCTCGTGGTCGTCGGTCGGTCGGTCGGTCGGTCGGTCGGTCGGTCGGTCGGTCGGTCGGTCGGTCGGTCGGTCGGTCGGTCGGTCGGTCGTCGTCGTCGTCGTCGTCGTCGTCGTCCGTCCGTCGTCGTCGTCGTCGTCGTCGTCGTCCGTCCGTCGTCCGTGTCGTCGTCGTCGACCTCCTCCTCCTCCTCCTCCTCCTCCTCCTCCTCCTCCTCCTCCTCTTCCTCGTCGTCGTCGTCGTCGTCGTCGGCGTCGCGTCGGCGTCGGCGGCGTCGGCGTCGGCGTCGGCGTCGGCGTCGGCGTCGGCGTCGGCGTCGGCGTCGGCGTCGTCGTCGGCGTCGGCGTCGGCGTCGGCGTCGGCGTCGGCGTCGGCGTCGGCGTCGGCGTCGTCCTCGTCGTCGTGCTAGCTGCACCTGCCGCACCTTCCGCGCGGCAGGTGCCGCCGCGCGGCCGCGGCGTGGCACCGGCACCCGCGGAGGGCGTGGAAGGTGCGGGGAGGCTCGAGGACCCAGGTCTTCCAAAAGACAAGCGACACCACCCCACCTACGGCGGCCCTCCATGTTGCGTTACTAGGGGAACGAAGATTGAGGTAAATATGAAAACTCGGAGGTCCGTGCGGATTTCTCGGATCGGCGCTGGACCCCCCTCCCTGGCGCGCGGAGCGCGCCAGGGGCGACGCCGGAGGCGCCGCCAGGGGGGCCCCAGCGCGGATCCGAGAAATCCGCGCGGACCTCAGAGTTTTTATGTTTATGCCATTTTTTGTTCCCCTAGCTACGGCCCATCGGGGGCCGTAGCGTATACCGTGCAAGCACCCACGCCAGACGTCCTGGTATGCGCTACGGCCCGTGGGGCCGTAGGTGGGGTGGTGCCGCCAGGACCGAGCCTTGCTCCTCCTCCTCCTCCTCCTCCTCCTCCTCCTCCTCCTCCTCCTCCTCCTCCTCCTCCTCCTCCTCCCCCTCCTCCCCCTCCTCCCCCTCGTCCGGCCCAGCCTGGCGGCGGCGTGCATACGCTCCCCCGAGGACCCTGGCCCACCAGGACCGAGCTTCTTGGGTCGGCCTCGCCCCCCCGAGGACCTCCCGTGGCGGAGGCCGAGCGCTCAGGCCCTGGCCCTCTCTCCTTTTCGACGCCCCTGGGCGCATCCAGCGGCCTCCACGGAGGCCCCCTCGGGGGCCTCCTCCTCCTCCTCGTCCTCCTCCTCCTCCTCCTCCTCGTCCTCCTCCTCCTCCTCCTCCTCCCCTCGTCCTCCTCCTCCTCCTCTCCCCTCCTTGTGTCCTCCTCTCCTCCTCTCCTCCTTGTCTCCTCTCCCTCCTCCTCCTCCTCCTCCTCCTCCTTGCGTTCTCCTCCTCCTCCTCCCCTCCTCCTCCTCCTCCTTGTGTTCTCCTCCTCCTCCTCCTCCTCCTCCTCCTCCTCCTCCTCGTGTCCTCCTCCTCCTCCTCCTCCTCCTTCTTCTCCTCCTCCTCCTCCTCCTCCTTGTGTCCTCCTCCTCCTCCTCCTCCTGCTCCTCCTCCTCCTCCCTCCGATGCCCCTGGATGCATCTGGCGGCCTCCACGGAGGCCCCCTCGGGGACCTCTGAAGACCTCCAGGAGACCCCTGGGGGACCCGAGCGCGGGGGACCTCCGTGGACCTCTGTGGACGTGGCCGCTTGTGAGATTTCTCCAATTCGCTTTCCGCACGCTGCTCACCGAGAACGTTCCACTACTCGCAAAGTGCCCACTCGCAAACGTCTGAAAAAGCACGTGTGCGTTTCGATGTGATGTGTCGCAAATGCCCCATGGCGGATCCATGCGAGCAGTTATGCGGCGAGTAGTGGACCGCGCTTGTCTGACTGAGGGGCGGCCTCGAGGCCGAAGCGCTCGCGGTAGAGGCCCAGCGGGGGGAAAGGTCCAGGCCACCACGCAGAGACCTTTCCCCACCCTCCCCGCTGTCCCCCGTCCCTGGGGCATGGGCAGCGGCCAGCTGACAATACTGGCACGTGGACTGCCGCGGGGGCCGTGGTCCACTTGTCCCCCTCGGCCCTTGGCCATACTGTAGCTGTTTTCACCACCATCGGCGCGCTCCATCCTCCGCGCCCCGTGGTGCCCACCGCGCTGGGACGGCCTCCCCCCGCGGCTGGGCTACCCCGCCCGCCCTCCCTGGCCCCCCCCCGCTCCGGCGGCTGTGCGGTCCAGCGACCCCGTCAGCCCCGGCCCTCGCCCCCCTTCTCCAGCGGCTCCTCCCCTGGGGCTTGGGGATCCCGAGTGCACGTGGTTCAGCCTGTGCGCTCCTGGCTGTCGGCCGACCGTGTTGATCTGTTCCATGGTCCCTGGCGGCAGCGCCCACGGCATCCTCTTGCTTTTCGGCCCGGAGTTGAGGTGTGGATTGTCCTGTTCCAGCAGCCCTCTGTCGTCGGCTCCTGCTCGAGAGTGCGTGTGGCACGCTTGTCAGTCGTCGCAGATATTGGCTCGCCGCCCCCCTGGTCCCATCCTGGTATGCAGCTCGCGCCATTTTGGCCGCGCCCCAACCTCGGTTGGTCAATTTGCACGTTGCCCTGGTCCAGCACCCTGGCAGCCGCAGCCTGCACCCCCCCACCCGCCGGCCCTGTCCGCCGTGGTGATGCCTGAGGCCCCGCCGGCTTTAGGTAATTCGTCTTTGCGATGCCCGCTCTGACTCGACTCGCCGTTTGCGCTCTCGCCTGCGGCTGCGGACTAAAAAAGTATCCCCATCACCCTGTCCCGTAGCCCTGGTCGACCCTTGACGCCGCCTGCGCCTGCGCTTGCGGCTGCGACCATGAGAGCTGTTTGGAGGAGGAACGTGGGTCAGCATGAAGTGAAGCAGGGATCCAGCAAAGGTGAAGGTATAGCCCTCTGGGGGCCTCTTAGAACCATCTTGGGGCGAGGAGGGCTTCTCGGGACATTTTGAAAAAAGGCACGACTCAGAAAAAGAGGGCGGCGGCAACTAGCCCGTCCCCTTCGGAGTCCGACATCGCATCTTGGGTTTCTCTTGGGACACTCTTGTGGCGCTCTTGTGGCCCTCTTGGGCCCCTCTTGGGGCTCTCTGGGGCAATCCTGGAACCATCTTGAGGCCTCGGAACCCCATGGGAAACGAAAAGGTGATGAGGCACACATCTTTACCTTTACCGCGGTGTACTTGACGTGATTTGCATCGCTTGGGGTTCTCGTGGGGCTCCTTGGGCTCTTGGGGCCGCCTTGTGGCCGTCTCGAGGCCGCGTGGAGGTCGCCTGGGGGGACGGCCGAAGGGATGCATAGCTTCTCGACCCAGCATTCACCCCTCGCTCATTTGAGTTGACATGTGCAGCGCCGATTCGTGTGCAACGCGTCACGCGCTTCATCGCGGTTGGCACGGGAAACAGGTGCAGGTGGTTGCTTGGGTGCGTTGGTACGGTGTCTGGCAAAATCGGCTCCCCCCCGTCGCCCTGACGAGGCGAGATCACTCTTGCACCACGACTTCAGCAACGCGTGCGAGGTGGAGGCGCCGTCGGGGCGACGCCCCATTCGTCGAGCTCGTTTCGCACGTCCATGACGAGTACCCTTCGTGCGTGTTAGCTGCTAGAACTCTTTTGGCTGCCGCTCGCGGTGCTGCCGCTTCTGCTGCCTTTCATCCTGCTGTCGCCGCAGCTGTTATGCTATTCGCGCAGTTCTGCGCACAAGGTCTCTCGTCCCATCACCAGTTTGTATTGATGCAGTTGATGCAATCTAACAGTCCTACATGCTGCACTCGTGATTGTGTACGGTGTCGTATCTAAGTCAACCCACATGGAGTAGACCGCACCAACGTAGACTCACATCATGCGTCTGGAGTATAGTCTATCATACATTTTTCGGGGGTATGATTGAATAGCGTAGGGCAGAGTTCGGTATGGCCGAGTGTACCATGGTACCGTACACATCGAGCTGACTCGAGATGAGCAGAGTATAACAGAGTAGAGTAGAGTAGAGTAGAGTAGAGTAGAGTAGGTCGTATGTACACTAGGTCGACGCCGTCGGCACCGGCTTCGTGTTCGAGCCCTGCCGGCATTCTGTGAGAAATTGTCTTGTGGCTTTTTTGGTTCTCGCATAGCATTTGTTTCTTCAGACGCGGTACAACATCAGCATGTCTCGTTGCGCGTCTCTTGTTTGCACAACATGTTCGACTCCGCATCTTCTTATACTGTGTTGCATTCGCAAAGCTTGTCGCCCTCTGGGGTCAGCCGTCTTTCACCACTGCTTGCACACTGCGCCTCTGACTACGGAGGCGTGCTTCCCTCTAGTACCACACAGGGCCTTGGCTTTCCCCTTCTGCTCCTTCCCTTCCGGGCCAGGCGCTGTTCTCCTACGGACATCTCTGGAGGTAGTCTTGAGTGCGGAGGAGAGGAGGCAGCATGAGCGGAAGAAGGTGTGGGTAATGGGGGTCGGGGCGGGCAGGGAAGGAAGGGGGAAGAGGAGGAGGAGGAGGAGGAAGAGGAGGAGGAGGAGGAGGAGGTGGAGGAGGAGGAGGAAGAGGAGGAGGAGGAGGAGGAGGAGGAGGAGGAGGAGAAGGAGGAGGAGGAGGAGGAGAAGAAAGGCGAGATCTGCAGGGGAGGCGGCGGGAAGCGGGGAGGGAGCAATGGGGAGCGGCTGCCGCGGAGTCGGTATGCGGCCTGTCGCGGGCTCTGCGCGGGAGGCATCCCAGGGCCCTCCTGGGGCACGCTGGGAGCTAGACGGGCTCTTGGACGAGACGCCTCTTCAAGTGGGCCTTCTTGGTGTCTTGAAGCCCTCTTGGCGGCATGGTCGAGCCCTTCCCGGGCCCCTCAGGCCGGTCGTGTGGGCCTCTCGGGGGGCCTCCTGGGGGCCTCTCGGGGAGCCCGCTGCCGGTCTCGGAGGCCATCCCTCGGGGAAGGCTCGGCACGTCAGCTCGGAGTCGCCCTCCTGGGGCCCTCCTTGGGGTCCTGTTCCCGGGCAGCTCCTTGGAGAGCCGAGAGGGTTTCAGATTAGGAGCCGGCAGGCAGGGCTGGGCCAGCCCCCCTCTCCAAGGCTTACGTCGGGCGTGTCCCTCTACAGGGGGAATATCCAAAAGTAGGCAAAAAGTAGTAGTGGGACGATCTGGTTGACTGTTTGTGAGCATTCTTTGATTTTTTTGGGATATCTTTGATTTTTCGTCCACGATCCCCCTGGATGGGGGACGTGCCCGACCCGAGGATAGCTCCTTGGAGAGCCACGAGGGCTTCAGATTAGAAGCTGGCAGGCCGGGCTAGGCCAGCCCCTCTCTCCGGAGCTCCTGGGCAGGCATCCCCGCAGCGAGCTGCTTGAACCGGCAGCTTGTCCCGAGAGCGCTTTCCTCAGGGGCGCCCTCGAGGGCGCGAAGTTATTCGTGCTTCGCGCTTCGCGGTTGGTCTCCGATTCCTTCCCATCCTCCTCTTCTCCCCTGGGAGGCGGCGCGAGAGCGCGAAGTTATTTGCACTTCGCTATTTGCACTTCGCGCTTCGCGCAGCGCGAAGCGCGAAGTTGGGAGCCCTTGCATCTTGTCCCGAGAGCGCCTTCCTCTGCTCGTTCCCACTGCGCGTGCCAGAGACCTTCTCGGCAGTCTTTGAAAGCTTCTTTCTAGGCCTTCTAGATTCGGGGGCGGCAAAGGGGGGGGTGATGACTAGGGGGGGTGGATATCATGGCGGTGGCCATGATGTTTCCCCAGATTTCATGGCGATTTGCTATGATTTGCTTGGAACCCCCCTCTTGGCCGCCCCCGACAGACGGGGTCGGAGTAGTTGGGGTCGGAGGATAGTGCCGCATCGGCGATGCATCGGCGATGCGGCTCGATGCGGAGGCCCGATTTTCTCCATGCCGACTTCGCCGATGCATCGCCGACGTCGCCAGCGCATCGCCGCGGCATCGGCGATGCGGCGAGATCCTCCGACCCCATCGCCTCGGAGCCCATCCAGGAGGCCTCTGTTCTTGGGAGCTCCTTCGCGGCTCCCTTTCTCGAGCTTGCAAGCTTCCCCGGCATACTGTCCAGTAATACAAAGTGCCCGCTGGCCTCACGAAGATGACTCCAGACTTTGCCCCAAGGTGTACCGTGTATTGTTTTCTGACAGGGATGGTGGTGTGTGGCCCGCATCGGGTTGGTTGCGCATGCTTCGAATTTGGAGGCAGAGTGCGTTGTGTATTGTTTTTTGACAGGGATGGTGGGGGGGGGCCTCTTGAGTTGTGAGGGGGTTTCAGATCAGAGTCCAGCAGCGCAGTGTGGCCCCGAAGCTTTTTTTCCGGCGCTGGTCGAGGAGCCTCTCGGCGGCCTGCCTGAGCCTGCAGCCTGTCCCGAGTAGCGTTCTTCTACCCGATCCCAATACAGTCGGGGCCCTGCAGAAGGAACCCTTTTCGTTGGGGAGGGGCTCGGTGTTCCTTGATTTTTCTACAGTTTGCCTTCTGTTTTTCTTAGGTTTTCCATGGGAAATCAAAGTTCAATGTGTGGAGAAAAGGGGCCCCGTTCCTTATTTAGGGTTCCTCAGGTCAACGCCCCGACTGTACGCGTGCCAGAGGCCTTCCCGCAGCTTCTTCGAAGCTCCTTGAGAGCTCCCGCGAGGCTCCCTTTCCCCAGCTTGCAGGCTCCCCCGGCATCCTTTCCATCGTCCTGGCAAGCGTCTTCCACAGACGTGTCACGCGCTTTGGACGGCGCTGCTATCCGGATTTTGGACGCCACAAGTGGAGCCCTATTAGGGGCTTCCTGGGTCGTCTTGCTGTTCTCTTGGGCCACAGAACCATCGATTCAACATCGGTCGCAGGACCGCTCCTCGAGTCCATCGCGCCCAGACTTTCCATCCTGGATCTGTTTCTGACCGCGCTCGGTCTGGAAAGCGGCCCCCAGGGTCCGAAAACGAAGACAACTCTTCGAACATCGAAATTCGAGGAACGTCGTCGTCGTCGTCGTCGTCGTCGGTCATCGACGTCGGGCGTCGGTCGTCGTTCGTGGGTCGTCGGTCGTCGGTCGTGGGTCGTCGGTCGTCGGTCGTCGGTCGTCGGTCGTCGGGCGTGGATCGTCGGTCGTCGGTCGTGGGTCGTCGGTCGTCGGTCGTGGGTCGTCGGGCGTCGGCGTCGGGCGTCGGGCGGGGGGCGTCGGTCGTCGGGTGGCGGTCGTCGGCCTCGGGCGGCGGTCGTGGGTCGTCGGGCGTCGGCGTCGGGCGTCGGGCGTCGGGCGTCGGTCGTGGGGCGTCGGGCGTCTGTCGTGGGGCGTCGGTCGTCGGGCGTCGGGCGGCGGTCGTGGATGGATCGTCGTCGTCGTCGTCGCCGTCGCCGCCGTCGCCGCCGTCGTCGTCGTCGTCGTCGTCGTCGTCGTCGTCGTCGTCGTCGTCGTCGTCGGTCCGTCGGTGGGCCGTCGGTCGGTCGGTCGGTCGGTCGTGGCCGAGGCGCACGTGGCCGCCCTCCTGTCCGAGGGCGGCGGGGGCGGCAGGGCAGCCGCGGCGCTCCCGGAGCTGCGGGGGGAGGGAGAGCCGGCGGAGGAGGAGGAGGAGGAGGAGGAGGAGGGAGGAGGAGGAGGAGGAGGAGGAGGAGGATGAGGAGAGGAGGAGGAGGAGGAGAGGAGAGGAGGTGAGAGGAGGAAGGAGGAGGAGGAGGAGGAGGAGGAGGAGGAGGAGGAGGAGGAGGGGGAGGAGTACAGTCGTAGGGTTCAGTCGGGCACGTCCCTCTACAGGAGGAGTATTACTCAAGAGTAGTCCAAAGTCAGTCTGGGAGCGATTCTTCGATGCTTTTTTGACTGTTTTTTTTCTTCCAAATTCCGCCTGTAGGGGGACATGCCCGACCTGATCGTAGGGTGTGGTGACGTCTTGCGGCCCTCTTGGCGTCTTGGGGCGTCTTGGGAGCCTCGTGGGGCGTCTTGGGGGCCTCTTGTGGCGTCTTGGGGCCACTGGGCGTTTCGGAACGATCTCTTTCGGCGTCTCGGGGCCCTCTTGGACCGTCTTGGACGCCTCTCGGGGCCCTCGTGGCCCGTCTTGGGGCCCTCTTGGGCCCCAAACAGTCACGCGAGAAGTCACGACAAGACGCGCCAAGCCCCCAGAGATTTGGCAGTTTGGGCCCCAGGCCCCTCGAAGACACCTCAAGAGTGAGGATCGAAGCTTAGAGGATTGGGCAAAGGGCCCGAGGACACGCCCACTCCGTACCCAGCGGCACCGCGGCGGACAATCGTAGGCTGTGGTTAGTTGTGCCAGGGTGTGGCTTGCAATCCAGGGCTGGACCTAAACGGTGTTTTTGGTGATTTCGTGGGCCGTCTTCGTTTCGACTTCGTTTTGCGGTAGAGGTGGATTCGAGACAAAAGCGAGGGAAAACGAAAACAACACGAAAACGAAAAACACCGTTTAGGTTCAGCCCTGTTGCAATCTGGGTCTTTGGGGCTTGGCTGGACACCACGCTGCCCCTGTCGATCCTCCTCGGGGCGCGGCGGAGAGATCCATCGAGGTTCTCGCTCGCCCGCTAGGGTGCCCCCCAGGGTGTGGAAGATGTCTCAGGCCAGGCCGGCGGGGACACCTGCAGTTGTCCGCTTCTCTCACCTCCTCTGTGCGTGACCCTCAAGGCGCACGCGTCTCTGTGGAGTGTCCTGCGGCCAAGCGCCCTGTGCAGGCGCCATTCCACAGGGAGTTGGTGTATGCTGACTGGCTGTCTTGCTCGCTCATCCCTCTCACAGGGTGCAGACTTGTAAACCACACCCTTCAGAGTTGCCGAGAACAGGGCCGAGGGAAGGAACACGCTGACCATGACCAGCTGGTCGGATTCTCGGCGGTCTTCCAGCATCGGAACGTTTTCCAGCAGCTGCGCCTCGCCGAGAGCGTTCTTGGGGTGCCCAGATGTCCCGTGCGGCAGTCGGAAAGCTGACTTGTGGCCCGATCGCCAGGGGGACGCCGTCAGACGCAAGAGTCGCGATAATCGTGGCCATGATTTCGAGGAAGAACAGGGTCGAGGGAAGACAGACCCCCTTGCGTCCAGAAAAATCACGCCAGAAGGTTTTTGCAGCTTTGTGGCCTCTCGGGTCCCTCGCTGGGCTTTGGAAATGTCAAAGATCAACCCGGTATCAAAAACCAGTTCCAAGGAAGGGGTCCAGACCTTTGGGGGCTTCTGACGCGCGCGCGCGCCCGGCTCGTCACCGGGGATTGGGAGAGTCGCAATCGAGGGAGGAATCACGATGACCAAGACCAAGGTGTCGCAGGATCTTGTCGACGCCGCTTTCGGTCGTGGTCCATGCCGGGCATAGCCGATCCGCGAGGACGAACCACGGATCGATTGTGACCAAGATGGACGGTGATCAAGATCAGTACCGACGTTTCCACGTCAGGCCGCCTCAAGGGGAGGGATAATTGAGGGTCTTGGAAGTCTTCCAACTTTCGTTAAAGCTTTTGTTCGTTTTCGAACGTTTCCGAAACCGCGCCTCTTCAAGGGCGTTCCAGGAGCGCCAGGATCGTCCTGAACGGACGGTTGAGAGCAAAAGTATGACCCGAAAACCAGGCGCTATGGTGAGGATGAGGATCAGGATGGGGATGATGATGATGATGATGGTGATGCTTATGATGGTGATGGTGATGGTGAAGGTGACGATGGTATGGTGATGGTGATGGTGATGGTTATGATGATGATGATGATGACGATGGTGCCGATGACGACGATGACGAGTAGCATGAAGATGATGATGCTGATGATGATCATTATGATGGTGATGATGATGGTGATGATGATGACGAGTATGATGAGTATGGTGAAGATTCTGATGCTGATGGTGGTGATGATGCTGATGGTCATGATGACGGTGATGGGGATGGTGTGGTGATGGAGGCAGAGGAGGATCATGATGAGGCTGATGATGCTCAAGATTATTATGATCCTGATGCTGATTATAATGCTGCTGTTGATGATGATGATGATGATGGTGGTAGTGATGATGATAATTATGATGATGATGGTGGTCGTGGTGATGCTGCTGATAATGAGGATGCTGATGGTTGTGATGATGATAGTGCTGATAATGATCATAAATATGTTATTGATGGTGATGGTGTTGATGGGTTTTTTTCTGGTGTTGATGGTGTTGACGATGTTATTGATGATGATGGCGATGATGCTGCTGATGATGGTGATGGTGATTGGGGACGACGGGTAGGATGCTGACCATGATGCTGATGGTGATGATGAGGCTGATTACGATTCTGATGACCATGATGATGCTGCTTATGATGATGATGGTGATGGTGATGCTGATGGTGCTGGTGCTGATGATGCTGATGATGATGTTGATGATGCCGTAGATGCTGATGGTGATGCTGCTGCTGATGATGCTGATTATGATGCTGTTGATGGCGACGGTGGTAATGATGATGCTGATACCGATGATGATGACGATGGTGTTGAGGAGGAGGAAGAGGAGGAGGAGGATGATACTGATGATTGTGATGCTGCTGATCATGATGCTGCTGATGCTGCTGTTGATGATGACGACGACGATGTTGCTGATAATGGTGATGCTGATGTTGGTGATGGTGATGCTGCTGCTGCTGATGATGATGATGATGATGACTGTGCTGGTGATGGCGATGGCGATTGAGGAGGGTGATGAGGGTGATGACGATGATGATGATGATGATGATGATGATGATGATGATGATGATGATGATGATGATGATGATGATACTGATGAGACTGACAATGACTGTGGTGATGATGTTGATACTGATGATGAGTAGAGAATGGTGATGATGATTAATATGATGATGGTGATGATGACGATGATGGTGATGATGCTGCTGCTGATGATGGTGATTACCATGCTGCTGATGAGGACGAGGATGGTGCTGTTGAGGGCCACGGTGTTGCTACTGATGATGGTGATGATGATGATGATGATGATGATTCTGGTGATGAGTATGAGGACGTTGATGATGATTAGGACGATGAGGATGAGGATGAAGTTGGTGAATGTGGTAGTGATGATGTTGATGATGCTGCTGATGATGATGATGGTGATGGTGATGATGCTGTTGATGATACGTGTGATGATAATTTTGATGATGACGATTTGGATGATGATGATGATGCTGATTCTGATAATGGTGATTGTGATGGTGATGGTGATGGTGGTTGAGGAGAATGAGGGTGCTGCTGATGATGGGGATGAGTAAGCAGACGATTATTATGATGATGGTGATTATGATGGTAATGTTGAGGATGTTGCTGACGTTGTTGTTGATGATAATGCTGATGGTGATGATGATGATGATGATGATGATGATGATGATGATGATGTGATGCTGCTGCTGCTGATGATGATGATGCTGCTTATGCTGATGATGATGATGATGATGATGATGATGATGATGGAGGTGATGATGACGATTGTGTTGATGTTGACGATGATGATGATAATACTGGTGATCGTGATAATGAGCACGTAGACGAGCGAGGACCAGGACGACTACGAGTAGGATGACGACGACGACGACGATGATGATGATGATGACTATGGTGATGCTGATATTGATGATGATGACGATGATTCTGATTATCATGATGATGATGATGATGATGATGATTATTATGACGATGATGATGATGATGATGATGATGATGATGATGATGACGATTACGATGACGATGACGATGACGATGACGATGACGATGATGTTGATGATGATGATGATGATGATGATGATGATGATGATGATGGTGATGGTGATGATGATGATGATGATGATGATGATGATGATGATGATGATGATGATGATGATGATGATGATGATGATGATGATGATGATGATGATGATGATGATGATGATGATGATGATGATGATGATGATGATGATGATGAGGAGGAGGAGGAGGAGGAGGAGGAGGAGGAGGAGGAGGAGGAGGAGGATTGGAGAGGTGGGCTGGCGGACGGGTGGGTGGGCGGACCAGCGTGCTGAAGTCTCTCGTGCCCCAGGCGCCTCGCGCGGCGCGCTGTCCGGGACCGCACTGCGAGTGCTGCCAAAAGTGGCCCTGGCCCGAGGCGGTCCCCCGCGAGGCCCAGTGGCCCCCAGAGACCTGAAGATGCCGAGAAAAGCTGGGAGCACCTTGGGCCGGGACCACTTCGAGCCAGACCCGACCCAGGCCGCTGGCCTCCTTCAGCCCGCCGCGCCCAGGTCGTTGGCCTTGCCCACAGGCCCGACCGCTCCAGAATCCGCACTCCTCGCTCCGCCCCTCCGTGGACCAGCCTTCTTGTGCGCTTCCCCGCGTGCCGCAGTCACCTGTGCCACCTGTGCAGGCGCGATCTCGACCCGATCGATCCGATCCGACGTCGACGCCGGTTCCGATGCAGCCCCATCCCGATCCGACCCGATTCTCCGTTTCGATGTTGACCGATGTCTTGCCTGTGCGCGTGTCGCCCACGGCATGGCGTATACCCTCCCCGCTATCCACGCCTGGATCCCTGATATCGGCAGGACCGCATCCCAAGTGATGCTTGCGGGCCGGGCCGCCGCGCGCACTGTTTGTGTGCTTTCTCCTCCTCGTCGCTGCGCGCGAGGCCGCTACCGTCCAAAAGTGTGTGTGTGTGTGTGGCTGCGCCACCAGGGCTCCTCGGCCCCCCCGGCCCCCTCCCTGGGGGAGGGCGCCTGGCTTTACCTCTCTGGCTTGCCCTCTCGGCCGCCGCCGTTTCTGGCGCGTCGCCCGGCTCGCCGGCTGTCGCGGCCCTGCCGCCTGCGATGTCTGCGGCGTCCCCGCCGCCACTGACAGGCCTTTGCGGCCTCCTTCACTCGGTGCCCTCCTGCCGGTTCCTGCCAGCCCTTTCGCCTGCTCGCCGCAGGCACGTGACCCCCTTTTCCATTGGGCTTTAGTCAGGTCGGTCTTGGTCTCGGGGTCGCTCCACGCTGCTTACTCACTCTCCTCGCCGTCCAGTCCCAGATGGCTTATAGTATCTCCACCACACGGCAGCCTGTTCTCCCACCGTTCCCCCCGTCATCCACGCCCGGATGGCGCACGGCGGGCGGCTGCTGCGGGACCCTCGGTGGCCTTGGGGGCTCGCGCGCTTCTAGACGCGCGCGCGCGGCTGCTGTTCTGGGACATTCTCCGCCCCGTCGCTGCGCGCAGGACCGCGACGCCCAAAAGTGTGTGTGTGTGTGTGGACCTGTGACTTGCAGCGTGATGCCCTCCAAGGCGCGCGGTGGGGCAGGCGGTTATGTGTCTCGATGGCGCCGCCCGCCTCTGTCGTCCCAGAGCGTCGCAGACCGCTCTCTGGAACGGAACCACGGCGGCGCCCGATACGGTCAATATGTACTAATAGTAAGGATGATCGACCTCCCAGGGCCCCCTTTCATCCTTGTCGTCTCTTTGGCCATCTTGGGTCCATCTTGAACCACTCCCGCTCGGATAGCCTCGGCATGGGCGTCCAAGTTCCTTCAAGCAGACTGGGAGTTGCTGACCCCTGGCCGTCCCTCAAAGGGTGGGAGCTCCGAGAGGAAAAGGTCCCGCCTTGGGAGTGTGTGTGTGTGTGCCAGGACGGCCTGATGTGCTGGCTGCAGAGCTGAGTGGACATTGGGCAAATGGCGGGTTGGTAGCATTGGGGTAGGCTTGAGGGAGGTGCCATTCGTAGATCGTTCACTCTCCGAGCGTGCGTTCGCAGAGGGTACGTTGCCTACCTGCCCGCCGCGGCCAATGTCTTAGACACGGCCGCGAGGTGCTGGCTCCGAGGAGGGCCCGTACTTCACGCCTCGGCGGGAGGCGGTGCAGCTGGCTCGTCATGGAGCCGGCCACGCGCCACGTTACCAAGGGCCCCAATGCCTTGCAGCGGAGGGCCGCCGGCGCGCCCGCCAGTGGAGTGCAGTGCCGCTGGCCTCGAAGCAATGCTCCCCTGCTTTTCCACGCTTAAGTCGGGCCTGTCCCTCTACAGGGGAATGCTCAAAAATAGTGCCAAAATAGTCTGGGGACGTTTTTTTTGTTTTTTTTTTTTTTTTTTTTTTTTTTTTTTTTTTTTTTTTTTTTTTTTTTTTTTTTTTTTTTTTTTTTTTTTTTTTTTTTTTTTTTTTATATAATATAAAACAAAACATTTTTGAATATCTTTGGTTTTTTTAGGGGGGGCTATTTTTCATGTCCCGTCCAGAACATCCGCCTGCATGGGAACGTGCCCGACCTGGCCCTATCCTTCGCGCTGCCTGTGCTCTGCCCTCCTCCAGCCCGCCCGCGCCCGCGCCTCCGGATGCGGGCCGCACCCCCGCGCGCCCCTCGCCCAGGAGGCGCTGCTCTGCCTGGCCGGCGGCGGGCAG